TCATTCCACTGAGTTATTTGCAATTCCTCATCTCCGTTCAACTCCACAGGATTTCTTCCAGTCAAAAGGTTGTGCGCTATTACCGCAGCACACCAGACGTCACTTTCCCTTCTTGGCTCTAATATACGATCAACTTCCTGAAGTTCCTCGGCAGAACGCACACCAGAGAGCAGCAAATTTGAATGTTTCTTCACGGGCTCCAAGGTGGGAACCAATTCCGGTGGACAGTATTCATTTTGAATAGGGACAGCATAGCAAATTTTACGAAGTTCCACTTGAACACTGGTATCCATAGTGATGGCGACAGAATCAGGCCGTTCCGTTTTAAACAAAACATTACTGATCCGCAGATTTCCGTGCGCGTATCCCCTCTGGTGCAGATAGTGCAGGCCACAAAATATATGTTGGATAACGGTGCACAGTGCATGCAAGGTGAGATATTTCGTCGACTGTAGCCAACGAGCCAAATTACCTCCAAGATGAAGTTCTGTGGACATCATTAAAGGGCACAAGTCCAGAATGGGCTCAAATGGCTGAACGATTGCTAGGCTCTTAAGCTGCGAGAATTTTCTTGTTTCTCTCGCGATTTTCATCTTGACTCGCTGTTTCAATGTGGCATCTAACATCGGGAACTCTCGGAGGCATTTTCCATCTAAAGTTTTTGCCACAAAGCCACGAATCGATTGTGTGAACCCAACAAAATAACTGCACAGTTCGTCACGATTTATGAGGGTTGCTGTATCAAAGAACGTAACCACATCATTTGTCGGGCTTTCAACCATAACGGAGAAACTCGTAAGATTTTGAAAGTTGCGCACAAAGTGTGGGAAAAGTAATGTACATTGTGGAGTTTTGAATTATCTCCTCCTGATCACGTGATGACCCATACAGCGATTAGATCCTGAGTCGAATGAGTAGAGCACAACATTGAGCTGGAATGGAAGTGAACTTTATTGATTTTGCACAAGCGTACATTTGCCAAAAAGTTTCGTTTACTACCTATCATGCTTGGATGTTCATTTCTTAAATACCTCTTCAACTGAGCGACGTGCTGCAGAAATCGTGACCAACACGTGGCTTAGACGAGTGATCGAAAAGTTTTCTAAAAACTGACTTCGATGACACAGCGCATCGGTTGTATAATTTTCAAAGTGCAATGTCAGGTGACCATTACGCACATCACATACCTTCATCTATATGACAGTGTATTTTAGAACGAATGAATGAATATAAGTTCCTTCTATTCCTGTCCAAAAAAGTGAAAAATCATTTGAACTATGTGGTGTGATGAGGTGACTCGTTTGCAGTTTCCACAGGTCGCGACGACGTCCTGCGCTCTTTCGTACGAAAAGAACGTTTTGCGCACGGCAAACCGGTTTCTCTTTTCAGAAGGGCTTGGTAAACAAAGTAGTGGGTATCACCGTGGAACGAGACGATATTTTGTGAGTTTTGATGTCGATTCGTTGTATACGAATGGGCCTGATTAGGATTCTTCGGAAACAGTGTCTGCTACAAGCAGACACTTGGCTTTCAGAACGAATGTAGCTCACGGTGGATGCGGTATAAAACCATGCTTGAATCTCACCCACTTCGTTTTTGACTCCGCGGTTTACACTCAAAAATAAGGTTTAGCAATTGGATCTCCAATATCCCCAGTTTAGGCAAATATATTTATGGAAGAATTTGAACAGAGAGCTTTAGCCGGATTCCCATACCCACCTAAGATATTCTGGCGGTATGTAGATGACACTTTCGTCGTCATGAGACGGGACAATGTTAGTGAGTTTTACAAGTAACAGTGAACTGAGTCCACAGATCAAATTTAGTATGAGGATGGAGTCAAACTCGGTAAACTGGCCTTTTTAGACTGCACGACGCATAAGATTGGGGAAAACTAAAGACCACAGTGTACGAGAAGCCAACGGACACTGGGGCAATTCTGAGCTACTTGTCTGCCCATCCGAAGTCGGCATTTTCTCATCAAAGTTTGGGTATCTATGGGTCATGAGCACAGGAGAAGCTGACCGAACAGCGGCCCAATTTGAAGTAAGGATCAAACTTCGGGGTTAGTGGATATTCAGCTAGCTTGATTGGGCGTCAGTTGCGAAGGGTGTTGGTATCGGTAGCGAAACACAACAGCGAATGAGCGAATATACACTAATTTTCAAACTAATTTGGTTTTCCGAGAGATTCACCTGAAACCCAGCCGAATCTCTCTCGTTTGTAATGTTCTCAGGGAATGGATCAGGACCGCTGTTATTCCATATAAACCAGGTCACCCGAAGGATTCTAAACACGGTTAACATAAGGGTTGCCTTCCAGAAGGGAAACACTGCGTTCTGTACTGGTGCAATTGAAGTGTAGCTTCCGGGCGAACAGAACCAGGGACTGTTCACAAAATCTAGCGTAATGACTGTACTAAGGTCGACAGATGGCCAGGGAACTTCCCGTCAGAATCAAAGAGCATAGAAACGCAGATGAATCTCGAGTGTTACTAGAACACTCAGTAATAGCGATACATGCACTGGACACGGGACACAAAATAGATTTCGAAAATGTCGAGGTTTCGCGGCGAGGACTACGGTCCACGTCACAGAGGCCGATGGCCGAATTGGCAGGTATCGCCAAGCACCCCAGTGTCAACAGAATAGAAGGCGTGGAACTGGCAAGCGTGTGCAGGACGGTTTTGGATCAGTCGAGCTGACATGTGCTGGTGTGCGATTACCAGGGGGAAGAGTAGTCATCATCTGAATTCCACTTAACCTCACCCACTTTCCCTGTCCACGCCAACCAAATTGGTCGCAGCACTTACAAGCCCAGAAAGGCCGACGAAATCTCCCAGTGGCACACGCGGTGAATTATCAGTTGAAGCACCTTGAAGTTGAAGATTAAAGAACCAACCCGGTCGGAACTAATTTGGAATTCTCTTAAGCAAGATTGTGGCAACCACACTAACTGACAAGAGCCGTTAATTGACACTCAACACTGATCTAGTATGCTAATTTGAAGAGGTCTTTCTGATTGGTTCTTAGTCTGACTTTAAACCTGGTGACCTGCTCACTTGGTCCGATGAAGCTTTTATGTCAAAAGCGAGACGTTCCCAATTGAAAGCTACCGACTGTTTACCAAGCCCCTCTAAAACGATGGCTTCTGAGTCGGTTCCAAACTTTTTCCGATTGATTGAATACCTGCTTCTCGTTTTGTAGCCCGCCGTAGTTTCAACATAGTTTCTAAATGCCGGTTCTACTCGACTAAAAACGATATGTTTATTGCAGACTAATTGCAGACTATGCCTGAGAGCTACAGAAGCCTGGTTTATTGACCTCAACGTTTTTATTTACGCTTTGAATGTTGACAACTCAAGTGATCTGATCGCCCGGTTTCATCACCGTTTGATCTAGTGATTAGGAATCGAGCTTCGTAAGTAAGCAACCTAAAAAAAGACGGAAAATCATTTAGGTAAAGAAACCACTCTATCAGGTGAAACAACGACTTTACGTTACATTGACGTACGTAGCCAAACGGTCAACCTGGAAAAGAGGACTTTTTTGAATGGATCACCCGGTGCGGTGAAACCAGGATCAACAGCCATCGGTCCTAAAAACAGCGGCCGAGAAGATCCGTGGACGACAGCTAATCGGATGGTTAACTTTGACCAGCTTCGAACACATAAACCGCAACCTCAGCGGGTCCAACAGTGAAAAACGTGGGGTTCCCTTTACCAAACTCTGAACAAGAACAGTTTTCCCGTAGGAATCAGAGGGATGCATCAAAATGTCTATTCTACTCCCTTTCCCGAAGACAATCTCAAGTTTCCAGAATCTAGTTCACCATTTCATTTCCTCGGCCCGTTATTGAAAGTTTTGCAGACTGGCGCGACGAATGACCTAACAGTGGGAGAGTCACAGAGACTATAACATCTAGGTAGACGACAAGCCTTCCCTTCGGGCTTGTGGACGAAACGCTTGATGGGCTCAGACAAACATAGCATTGTCTATAATCCACAATGAATAGGAACCTTGGAAGAGCCTTTCCTGTAACGTCTGACTAACCAGTGACCGTGATTCCGGTACCCTTTGGGAAGTGACGCCAGGTGAATTGTAGTGCTTCCTGATCAGTTGGTGGCTGGTGGTGAGCAAATGTAAGTCAATAGAACAAATAAAACCCCAAGATTTTTCTTTTACTATTCAAGACAACAAGACAACAGTGCACCCTCAGTTCTTGTGAGGTGTCTCCTTTCATAGAGCTCTAAAAAAGCTTCAGATTAGAAAGAAACACTTGAGGACGAGAGGGACTGTAACCAAATATCCTGCCGACTTTGATTCAGGGGAAATCTCAAGCTTCATAACTGCGATCAAACTTTATTCCACCAAGGGATTAAAAAACTAACATGTTAGATGCAAATTGCTTCAACTCTTTTTGTGTTCGAAATCATTCAAGAATCAGGCTGCAAGTCTGAGCTGGATTCGCTTTCCACCTGGCTCACATCTGTCCAGGCTTCGGGAACTTTATAACAACAAGAAAGTTGTACTTTCCTGCGGTCAAATGACATTTATGTAAATAAGAGTTGTGTGCAAAAAAATTGAACTAAAAACATCTCAAAGGAGAGATTCAGCTGGGTTCCAGGTGTGCCTCCTTTCAAAAACAAATTGGTATGCAAATAAGTTCAGATGTGCAAACGAATTTCGTGCGATTTGCGCTTACGTGGAAAATAAAGTCGGCGGAAACTCGGGGACTGCGCCTGCCTAATGAGCCTTAAGAAGAGGTCGTGGGCTGTCGACGGCTTTTCAGCAACCTTATGAGTAGTGCATTACAAGGATATACATGTATCGCGATATCTCGAATATCGCAGCGACCGAAACATGAGGCGGCCTGGTGCAGCACATTCAGCTGTCCAAAAACATCACAAACGAGAGATTCAGCCCAAAAAAACCAAATTAGTTTGAAAATGAGTGTATATTCTCTAAAATTGAACCCTATCCAATTTTTACTTTTCCCAGGCGAGGAGAACGCAAACCTGACGCACACTCAAAGATCTCCGTTGGAACAAGGTTTTGAAAATCCTGAGAACGGGAATACACGCCTACATCTACAGCGCCTACATCTCCCGACGAATCGAGGACTTCCGGTACGATAGGAATGAAAATACAGTCCGGTCCTCACCTCCCAACCAAAATGACTCTGGAAGACATGGTTGATTCAATCCGTCGACTGGAAGCAGGCAGGGAACTTAACACTCTGAGTGCTGCTCACGAACCAGATGAATCGAGGTACTATTTCTTTTCACTGATGGTACTATTGAACAATGAATTTTCAGATGTATTATTTGAGTTCACGACTCATATATATAGTTTAAGTGGACTGGTGCCACAGTACTACTAGGAAATGTAGGGCATTTAGGAATAAAGGACAAACAAAATAAAATGCAGAGCTACCTTTGTCGTCTAGTTTTGAAGTTGTGAATCGGCCCTTGGATCGTTTTTTATCAGCTAAAGTTATCCACAGAACAATGGGGTAATTTAAATGAGTGGATAGATGACAATTTGAGCGTCTCCGTTTTAGTAGGCCCACCAGCATAATTTTGAAGTCCTAGACTTTGTTCCACATGTCGGTGTCCTTTAGATTCGTGTTGAGCATGTAACCATGAGCTGCTGGCTGAAGAACGTCTATATCATAACACAAAGACAGCTCCATGTGGTCAGGTCGCTCGATTTGTGACCAAATTCCACCTCCACATCCATACTCCCATTCAAAACAAGGAACTGCAAACCATTTTCAGTCAAATTAACTGATATTCTTGTCCAAACCGCCACAAACTTTCTTTTTCTCGGTGTGATATATTCAAAGTTCAAAACATGGTGGTGTCCGTGAACGTAAAAATCTTTGCAGAAATGGCCGTAATAACATGGGATTGCGGAAACACTAGCATATCTCTCTTCTGGTTGTAGAGTCGGTAATCTGATACGCTGCTGGGTGGATTGGTAGTGGTTTCATGGCACAGAGTGGCGAGAAGAGTTGGTTGTTTTTGCTTTCATGTGTTGTCATGGTGGTGATTGTGTTGGTGCTTGTGATGACGGTGGTGGTTGTGTTGGTGGTGGTGGCTGTGCTGGTGATGGTGATGATGATAATGATGCTGGTGCTGGTGATGGTTTGAGGTGATGTTTTTGTTTTGGTGGTTGTGATGATGGCGGTGATGGTGGTGGTGGAGGCTGTATATGGTGGTTATGGTTGTGATCGTGCCGCTGGTGGTTGTGGTGATAGTGATGAAGGTGGTGTTGTTGTTCGTTTTGTTGCATGTGGTTGTGTACTCGTGATTGCGTTGGCGGTTTTGATGAAGACGATGAAGATGATGATGGTGGTGGCGCCGTTGCTGATGGTCGTAGTGGTTGCGGTTGCGTTTGCGGTTGTCGGTTGATTTTGATGGCTGTTTTTGTTTTGGTGATGGTGGCGGTTATGTTGATGCTGGTTGTGTTGTCGGCGGTGGCGGTGATGTTGACAGTCTTTCATATATTTCACAGGACCTTTTCCGTTACTTT